TTTAAATTTAGTTTAAGATATTAAAGTTGAAAATTTTACTACACCAGTGCCCTCACGTTTAACCAGGAGGGGGAGGGGGGACGTTTTAGGATTTTTTTATTCCCGGGTCTTTGCCATTCCAAATTTTTGTAAGGCCTCCTCATTTGGCATAACTATGAACATACTTAAGTTTGGAGTTTGCACATTGTGTGTAAGTGTGCAATATGGGCGCCTATGCGCTAATGCATCAAGTAATATATTGTTACTATTCCCAAATTAAAAAAAATTTTAGACAAACAAAATCTTATAATAGTAGTATAGGGATAATTTTATATAATATATTTTACAATATAAACAATTTTTAGTTACAGTCACTATTCAACATATACGATTTATATAAAATACACGTACACTCACACACGCACACAGCACACCTTTTTCAACATATATGATTTATATAAAATCCACGTACACTCACACACGCAAAAAGAATACCTTATGTTGAAAGGTTACATAGTTTCTACATGCATCAAAAGCTGTTATAAATAAAAGTGGTACAAAAAAGGTTATTTTTAAAAACTAGCCTATTAAACTTATTCTTAATGGTTTAAGATGAAATAATAATAAATCAAAACTCGAACAAATACACAAGTCAAAAAAATTGCAAGTAACAATATACAATTTTACAACATTTTAAAACTTACAGTACGAATACTACAGCGGGTCAACATGGCGACACACGGGATCACACCGAAGTGTAAAAAACTGGCTTAGTTATGAAAAAACCTTATTTTAATTTTGAAGTTTTAGAGAACTGACGCATGTGTTTACCCATAACTTTTCAGCCTGGATTTTTAAATCCTATATCAATTGGTTTGACTGAGATTAATAAGAAAAATTTTATAACACCACTCCCAAAAAATTGGATAAGTTTAATTTTAAAAGAAGGACAAAAATATTATTTTACAAAAGCGCCTTTTTATATATCGAGAAGGAAAGAAAAGTTTGAGTACAAAAGACTCATAATCTCTACACTTTATAAAATTCAAAACAAACCGAAAAAAATTATAGCTTGTAAGTATAATATCTGGGTATCTAGCGATTGCCAAAGTATACAAACGGTCAGTGAAAACCAATGGAAATTTTATTTTCCTAAATATAAGCAAAAGAAATACAAATACCAAAACAAATAAAATATTTTTTAAACTTTCTTTATATTTAGAGCAATTTACACAAGAAGTATGCAAAGCAAGACTTAAAAGCAACCATTTGTTTAAAACTAATAGCGGCCCGCGTTAGCAGGCCAGAGAAAAATAGTTATAGACTCATTGTAATGGCCTTCTCCACGGAAATCTTTAGTAAAAGGCGAAAGATTTATTCGTGTAATGAAGAAAGCCCAGAGTTAAGAGGAAATGGTATATGATAAAATCCTTTATTATGCATAACTTTTATGCTTGTGGTGCGTACATACTTTTTGAAATGCGTTTTGTAATACAAAATTTACAAGACTTTAATGCTACATTTGAAAAAATGTAAAAAAAGTTAAACTTCGAAACACAAAAAAAAAACAAAATAAAATGATAATATTCAAATAAAAAAAATTTTATAATTAGTTTACAACATTTTATAGCAAATATTTTCATTTATTAATTAAAAGTTTTAATTTCTAGACAATATTTAAACAATTATCAACAGATAATTGAAAACCAAAAGAAAAATTACGATGAAAAATATTTTTTAAATAACAAAGTAACATAAGTACACAATAAAATAAAATTGAAAAAATAAAAGTAAAGGAAGTTTGAATTGCATTGCATTTAATATTCTTGCTTTATAATCGACTTTTCTATACTTAACCGTGGCCAAAACTCACTGTTTGTTTATTAATGTTCGCAACTAGAGAAAAAGTCTAGTCACTATTTGAAACACATCGGGCCGCCAAATCCAAGTGAAAATGCTAAAGAGAATATATTAGAGTAAGTATTAAGCAAGTAATTATAAAAAAGTACAAAACTCCAGTTAGAAACCTCATAATTGAGTGGTAAGTATGGTCAGGGCTGATTTCCGTATGTTATTAGCGATTAGGCTTTTTCTTGTATAACTTCACTTCTGAACCCCAAAAGAACCCAGCTACTTTATGGATCACATACAGTCATAAATACCTCAGTGAAAAAGAAGTTAAAATTTTATTGGAGATAAACAACGATCAGAAAAGTTGGACAGGTGCCCAGTATGGGAGTATGGAGTAAAGAAGAGGAAATTCAGTTCACTAATTATTTATATTTTGTATGCCGTATAAAGTGCATGCTATTTTATCCGAGATATTCACTTTAGTCATATTTTATACTCTTAATCTGAAAATATCGTTTTATACTAAGTTATTTTTTAATCACAATTTATAGCGTAAAAGTGGGGTTATTTGTTTAATATCTAATTCACATTTAATTCTAACTTTATACCGTTTTAAATCTAGTTTATGCACAGTTATAACTTATACCGCTTTTTTTATAAGCACTTCACTTTGTTTATACTATTTAACTATTGATATCGTTTTAGTGGAGTTATTCGTTTTAAAACTGTATATTTTCTTGGTGGAGTTATTTGTCTTATACTTAATCTATATTTGAATATAATTTATACCGTTTTCGTCGTATTACGCTCAGTTTATACTTAGGTTAAATAAACTTGTAGTTTTTCCGTTATAGTGTTCATTTTAAAAATGTATTCTATTTTAATGTAGTTATTTGTTTTTCAAAAAGTATACCATTTTAATGAACTAATTTGTTTTATACTTAGTTTACAATTAACTATAGTTAAACCCTATTACTGGAAATATTTGTTTAACGGTTAGTTTATATTAAATCAGAAATAATGCTGTTGTAAAATTGTACACATGTATTGTATGGACTTTGTTTGGAGAGCATAAATTAAGAGAATAGAAACAATCCGAAAGAGATCCTAAATTTAAAAAAAAAAACATATTTTGAAATAAACAATTAGCCAGGGGAAGAGTATTGAGAGATTAAAGATATACAATACCGTAAAAGTTTTAACTTTTTTACAATTTACATGCGCTTTAAAAACTGCTCATTGACAAAGCGCAAAATGTTTTTCGTAAAACTTATTCTTATTCAATATAAAATTATGGTTAGATATTTTATCTTTAATATTTTTTTCTTCTATTTTGTGCTGAGTTGACTAAAATTTGTACTTTAGTACTTAGGAATAATGTCATTTATAAGTTTTTGTCTCCTAATATTACTTCTTGCGCAGCGTGTTTTGTTAACATTCTTAAAAAGTTTCTTTAATCAGCGTACTTTGTTTAAAATGGAACAAGTTAGAGTATTGGAACAAGTAGAGTAGTAGTATGTCCTCTTAATTGTTGCAACATAAGAACCAGAGTATTGAATCCTTTTAAGGGTCAATACTATATCCATTTACTGACGAGAATCTGGTATTATACTTTATAAAGCTGATATTCTTAATAACGCTGATATACTTTCATACTTTATTTCTTTAATTAAATATGCGCGTACTCTCCCAAATATAATAAATGTTTGTTTTTGATGTTTTTTTGTATACTTTTGCTTTGATACTTCTGCTTTATTGTATGTTTAATAAATTAAGTTATTTTGTAATATTGTGCTATTTGATTTATCACATCGCGACGCTAGAATTATCTTGTGCTATCTCCATGTTTTTGCAAACTGAGAAAATTGATGTCAAAGTTTGAATTTGTTTGCAGCTAAATTGAAAAAATATTTCGAGAATTTAGGTATTTCTTAAGATTTAAAAATGTTTTATTATTAATTTTTAGATAAAAAAAACTTTTTAAAATTACCCTAACGCCCTTTTTTTCGCACCCTCTTTTGGAGATAGAACAAAATAACTTTGGTTTTTAGTAAAATTCAAAAATATTATGTTGTTACATCATATATATTAAACATATTAAGTACATTTTTCAACAACGACATGTTAGAAATTGATGAAATTTTGTTCTACCTGCTAATTATTCTTACGCAGTACCATACACTCCTAATTTATGGGCATGGGCCCCTAAATTAGGGGCATGGGCCCCTAATTTAACGGGACCCTTTTCAAAATATAAGACGCTTTTTGTATTACCTAAAAAATTAAGTTTTTTAAAATAAAATGAGGCCCTAATTAGGAGAACTTTTAGAAGAGCCTCTAACGACACTGTTCTTACGACTTACATTTACTTTAATTACCTGTAGGCGCCGGCCCTGGACAAGACTAAGACGTCTAATTTAAAACGGAAAATTTGGCTGCGTAATAATAATATAAACGTATTAATATAATATAAACGTATAAAATAAATTATGAAAGGTATATAGGAAAGAGTTATGTTAAAAAAAATGTAATAATAAAAGAAATAACATTATGTAACTATCTGATAATTCACAACAATTCAACTAATCTAATCACAAACTCCATGCAAGATGAACTTGATTTTATTTTTCTTATGCCTGTGTATCCATTAATAGAGTTTAACTTTTTATTAAAAGTTATTGCAAATATTTACAAATAAAAAATTGTTACTCAAGTTAACGTCAGGAAGGGCATCAGGTTGTGAAACATTGCTTTAACTATTTTATAGTGGCCTTTATGTCACTATGGAAAACCATCCAAACCAAACAAGTGGGGGAAAATGAATATAAAAGTACAAAAAAAACAAACAAAAAAAACACAAGCTAAACAAAAATTTTTATCAAGATTTCAAATTAATATTATTTCAATGTGTTTTATATTTATATTTATACTAAATAAATATTTTATTTAAATATGTTATTTATATGTATATTATTTATATTATTATATATATATAAATATGTTATTTATATTTATACTAAACATATAACAACCCTAAAAATATTTTGACTTTATTAATGTTTTGTAAATGTTCAATTTATTATTGTTTTATAAAATGCAATATCAACAGCAGGCATGTATGAATACATGGAAATGATATCATTGGCTTTTGCAACAGATATAGACTGATAAGAAGCACGAAAGCAAGCTGCCATTGGTATATTGGTATTTAATGGTTTTGCAACAATGGTTGATGCTGCTTTCTTGACAGACTTATTTATACGAGCTTGTGAATAATTATCTGAAAACGAGGTTTTAAAAAAAACATGGTATGGCAGTCCGTTTCGATAAACAAGATTTTTAACCTTTGAATAAGGCACTAACTTATAACTTGACAAACCAGCGACAACTGAAAAATTCTTTACATCTCCTAATTGCATTTGGTAAACACAGAAAGGTTTTTTACGGTTTACATTTTTAATAGCTCTTTCTAGCCCAAGTGGACTAAATATTTCTGCAGCAGAGAGGGATTTTTCAATCTGACTATGAATGTTGTCACATTCTTGAATGCTGGAATGACCTGGCTCGCAGAACTTCTGTTCAATTACTTTTATTTGTGGGTATCGTATTATAAATTCACACAAAGCTGCTGACATGAAACTATTGCGGTTTTGTGGTACACATGAATCGAACCAAAGTATGAACTTATTTATGTCAAGGTCAGCCATGATTTTCAAAAGCAAACATGTTACAGCACTGGCTAGATCATTTCCTCCACGACCAGTCATGGCTTCGTTCCAAAGGATGCAATAACCCTTCCTGTTAAGCGAGCAATGACCAGTTAAGTTATAATTTGAAAGTTTTCGTTTGTAATAAAAGTTTCCCACATTAGCTCTAGGCAAATTTAAAACATTTTCAAGGTCAATACAAACAATTGCAGTTTTAGAATTAACATTTTGGCATTTTCATGTTCATTTTCACGTTCAGTTTTGGTATCATTCCTTGATTTTATGTGCTTATTATAACTATCTGTTTGTTCATTGCTTGCATTAACAATGTTGCGATACTCATAGCATGTGTCACATAAATCTTTCTTCGGTTTTTGAAATTCTATATTGAACTCGTGATTAAAGATATAACGATACATATGTTCTTTTGCTGGAGGAGAGACATTTTCATCACAATATATTTTATAAAGATCATACATTCTACCTATATTTAGTGATCCTTCCATGTATTCTTTATGTGTCTTTTTCCTGCTATAATGAGCATCAATTCTTGGGAAAAGGTTAATATGGTCTCGTACAACTTGTTTAGACTCTTCTAGTAACCTTTTTTTAACATGTTTCCCTGATTTTGATTGCAATGGTGTTCCAGTAGTTAAAGATTTATTAAACTTATGAAAGTAAAACACTCTATGGCTGCTAATACTCAATGTTGAAAGATAATATGATTTACAAACTCTATATTGTGTATTAGAAACAAAAAAGCTATAATAATATGTTTTTCTTCTTGAATTGTCACCAGCAGCTGTCCAACAGCGTTTTTTCTCCAGATTTTCAGTAGTTTTAGAATAGAAATGTTTTTTTCCGTCATCATCTAAGGTCCAAAAGTTATCAAATATTATTTGACGCTCAATCTCAGATATATTGGTAGAACATTTAAATTTACAATTTCTGCAACTTTTTAGTGCAACAATAGATCTTTTTGGCATTTGTTCTCCTTTCGTATTTTTATAAGCTTTACCCGACTGACGTTGGATTTTTCTTACACTTTGTTTCCAACGAGAAGGTGTAATGCCAAGCAGCTCTAACGATTAAAATATTAATTTTTTATTATCCAGGATGTATAAATAATAACTTTTAAATTTAATCTAAAATGGCACAAGCGAAAGTCGAATTCTAATTTTCCAAAATTATAATACAAATTAAGTTGAAAAACTACCTTCGTTTTGATTTAGGGCAGGTTCCATTTCTTGGTCAATATTTGCAGTTGCCATTTTGAAAACAACAAAACTGATAAAATTACTCCGAGCAACTTTGTAAATGTAATATGATTGGTTGATTGGAGATAATATTTTCAACTTTGCTCATTAAGGAGATAGAACAATGCAATATTGCATGCAATACCGTGTTAAAAGTTTCTTTTTTTTTCAATATAATTAAAGTAGAACAACACAATGCTAAAATATTCGAAAATAATAAAATCTCAATTTTTTCAAAAATTGGAGATAGCACAAGATAATTCTAACGTCGCGACATTACGATTACCATAACGATGGCAATCATTAACAATTGTTTTGGCTTATATATATAAAAAAAAAAAGTACTTCATTTTTTTAAATTTGCTGACTCATATCAAAAAAGTTTTATACTGACTGATGTGACCTAGTTTGTGCCGACTAAGACTTAGTGTTTGGGTGGGTGTGACCCCCCTTCGCCGGCCCTGAGTCGATAGAATCTTTTTAATTAAAGGTCTTGAACATTTTGGTTTTGGAATGTTTTTTACTTTACATATTAAGACAATAAATTTAACAATCATTGTTCGATCCCAGTGGATTTTAAAATGTGCTTTAAAACAAACACATAAAGTCATTTGTCATTATTATTGAAGAACACTTCAACAACTCGTGGGAAGACAATAAGTGATTGATTTTATATCATAGATATAGAATAAAATTTTCAATCGTTTGTTTACTATTTGATAAGGTATCAACTATTTTATAATAAATTATGCTGAGATATAAATGTAAAATTTAAAAAGAAAATCAATGGTGCTTACACATATTTTTAATGTTACTCTAGGGGGAGTTGGTACAAAATCTGACATTATATATAAAGGGGGGTTTTGCGAAAAAGTGACAGAGTTTGACAAATAGATGAGGGGTTTAAAACGTTCTATAAATATCAAGAACTACGCTTAACTTGAACATTGCCTAAGTTGTACTATTTATCTGTTCGCATGGAGAGTCTAATCTAACGGGATTTTACTGTATATATATGTATGTATGTATGTATGTATGTATGTATGTATGTATGTATGTATGTATGTATGTATGTATGTATGTATGTATGTATGTATGTATGTATATATATATATATATATATATATATATATATATGTATAATATTATTATTATTATTATTATTATTATTATTATATTATTATTATTATTATTATTATTATTATTATCTTAAATATAATGTAACATAAAATCTTTTGCGTCTTTTTTCATAACTGCACATTCCGGAATGTTCCTTCAGTAAGCAACTGTTTCTGATAATATTAATACGCTAATTTAATAGTAGTAGTTAATAGTCGTTTTCTAGGCTTTTCTATTTTAAAGTAGTTTCTACGCTTTTTTTATACGCGGTTTTTTATTTTATTTTTATTTACTAACAACCCGTATTACGGGTTGCTTACTGCTAGCCGTAAGTATTCTTACAAAATGATTTGTTTTGCAAGTTTTCTTTTGCAATATATTATTACGGATTTTTATTTATTTATACTTTTGTATAGTGCGTTACGGAATGTGCATTTTCGCATATGCAACTTCCATAATAACAATTCTATTACGGTAGTTTTGTTTTTCGGCGAACAACCCAATTGGAAACTATAATTGTGGAAATTTATTATAACAAACTTAATTTTTATTTTGAAAAGAAAACAATTAATATTGAGTAATAAATTATAGGATTAAAAATTTGAATGTTAAATGGTTTCAAAGCTATTTGTCAAATAGGAAACAATATATTTCTTTTAGCTGCGGAGAAACTGGTGGTATAAATATAAACTGCGGGGTTCCCCAAGGGTCAATTTTAGGAACACTCTTTTTTTTTTAATTTATATTAATGACTAAAGCAAACCTTGTAATTATTTAGACGCTATTTTATTTGCTGATGATACAAAATTGTTTTATGCTCACCATGATATAAAAATATTATTTAACTCAGTTAACATGGAACTTTTAAAACCTACTGAATGACATAATGCAAATAAATTATCAATTAACTTAACTACTAAGTATACATTTTTCCATCGCTTACATAAACGCGATAAAACTCCCTTTAAAAAGCGGTATAAGTTATAACTGTGCATAAACTAGATTTAAAACGGTATAAAGTTAGAATTAAATGTGAATTAGATATTAAACAAATAACCCCACTTTTACGCTATAAATTGTGATTAAAAAATAACTTAGTATAAAACGATATTTTCAGATTAAGAGTATAAAATATGACTAAAGTGAATATCTCGGATAAAATAGCATGCACTTTATACGGCATACAAAATATAAATAATTAGTGAACTGAATTTCCTCTTCTTTACTCCATACTCCCATACTGGGCACCTGTCCAACTTTTCTGATCGTTGTTTATCTCCAATAAAATTTTAACTTCTTTTTCACTGAGGTATTTATGACTGTATGTGATCCATAAAGTAGCTGGGTTCTTTTGGGGTTCAGAAGTGAAGTTATACAAGAAAAAGCCTAATCGCTAATAACATACGGAAATCAGCCCTGACCATACTTACCACTCAATTATGAGGTTTCTAACTGGAGTTTTGTACTTTTTTATAATTACTTGCTTAATACTTACTCTAATATATTCTCTTTAGCATTTTCACTTGGATTTGGCGGCCCGATGTGTTTCAAATAGTGACTAGACTTTTTCTCTAGTTGCGAACATTAATAAACAAACAGTGAGTTTTGGCCACGGTTAAGTATAGAAAAGTCGATTATAAAGCAAGAATATTAAATGCAATGCAATTCAAACTTCCTTTACTTTTATTTTTTCAATTTTATTTTATTGTGTACTTATGTTACTTTGTTATTTAAAAAATATTTTTCATCGTAATTTTTCTTTTGGTTTTCAATTATCTGTTGATAATTGTTTAAATATTGTCTAGAAATTAAAACTTTTAATTAATAAATGAAAATATTTGCTATAAAATGTTGTAAACTAATTATAAAATTTTTTTTATTTGAATATTATCATTTTATTTTGTTTTTTTTTTGTGTTTCGAAGTTTAACTTTTTTTACATTTTTTCAAATGTAGCATTAAAGTCTTGTAAATTTTGTATTACAAAACGCATTTCAAAAAGTATGTACGCACCACAAGCATAAAAGTTATGCATAATAAAGGATTTTATCATATACCATTTCCTCTTAACTCTGGGCTTTCTTCATTACACGAATAAATCTTTCGCCTTTTACTAAAGATTTCCGTGGAGAAGGCCATTACAATGAGTCTATAACTATTTTTCTCTGGCCTGCTAACGCGGGCCGCTATTAGTTTTAAACAAATGGTTGCTTTTAAGTCTTGCTTTGCATACTTCTTGTGTAAATTGCTCTAAATATAAAGAAAGTTTAAAAAATATTTTATTTGTTTTGGTATTTGTATTTCTTTTGCTTATATTTAGGAAAATAAAATTTCCATTGGTTTTCACTGACCGTTTGTATACTTTGGCAATCGCTAGATACCCAGATATTATACTTACAAGCTATAATTTTTTTCGGTTTGTTTTGAATTTTATAAAGTGTAGAGATTATGAGTCTTTTGTACTCAAACTTTTCTTTCCTTCTCGATATATAAAAAGGCGCTTTTGTAAAATAATATTTTTGTCCTTCTTTTAAAATTAAACTTATCCAATTTTTTGGGAGTGGTGTTATAAAATTTTTCTTATTAATCTCAGTCAAACCAATTGATATAGGATTTAAAAATCCAGGCTGAAAAGTTATGGGTAAACACATGCGTCAGTTCTCTAAAACTTCAAAATTAAAATAAGGTTTTTTCATAACTAAGCCAGTTTTTTACACTTCGGTGTGATCCCGTGTGTCGCCATGTTGACCCGCTGTAGTATTCGTACTGTAAGTTTTAAAATGTTGTAAAATTGTATATTGTTACTTGCAATTTTTTTGACTTGTGTATTTGTTCGAGTTTTGATTTATTATTATTTCATCTTAAACCATTAAGAATAAGTTTAATAGGCTAGTTTTTAAAAATAACCTTTTTTGTACCACTTTTATTTATAACAGCTTTTGATGCATGTAGAAACTATGTAACCTTTCAACATAAGGTATTCTTTTTGCGTGTGTGAGTGTACGTGGATTTTATATAAATCATATATGTTGAAAAAGGTGTGCTGTGTGCGTGTGTGAGTGTACGTGTATTTTATATAAATCGTATATGTTGAATAGTGACTGTAACTAAAAATTGTTTATATTGTAAAATATATTATATAAAATTATCCCTATACTACTATTATAAGATTTTGTTTGTCTAAAATTTTTTTTAATTTGGGAATAGTAACAATATATTACTTGATGCATTAGCGCATAGGCGCCCATATTGCACACTTACACACAATGTGCAAACTCCAAACTTAAGTATGTTCATAGTTATGCCAAATGAGGAGGCCTTACAAAAATTTGGAATGGCAAAGACCCGGGAATAAAAAAATCCTAAAACGTCCCCCCTCCCCCTCCTGGTTAAACGTGAGGGCACTGGTGTAGTAAAATTTTCAACTTTAATATCTTAAACTAAATTTAAATTTATCGAAAGATTTTAAATTTTGTAAAAAAATATTGTAAATTACAAAAGTAGCGTGGTTTATCGCCTTTCAATTGTACTTTAATGTAGTTTCTCATAAATATCCTACTAAATTTTCAAAAAATAACTTTGTTATTCCCATAACCCATCTTAAAATAAGTTCTTACCGAATTCAATATCTTGGACCTTTTGTTTGGAAAAATTTTCTTTGCATTTTTAATGATAAACTAGAATTCGTCTGCACAATGGAAAGTTTAAAGGCTGATTCAAAACGGCATTTACTAAACATCGACGTTTATATATTAGATTTCAAATACATATTTTGAAAATATTTTAGTTGTTTGAATTAAAAAATTATTTTAAAAGTATGCTACATTTCTTTAATTGCAAATTTTTGATCTACCTTCCTCTTTTTCTATTTTTAAAACTAAGCTTAAAAATCTAATTCCTTTCTATGGAGAATGTTTTTCTATTTTACTAGTGTTATGGGTTTGTCTACCTATTATTAAAACTAAGTTTACCTAAGTATATAGTTACATTGAGATTGTACTGAAACTGATAGCTATGAATAGATGTATAAATATTTATTATTTGAGTTCGTATTGTATATTGATTTATTTTATATATTGCAAGTATGTATAAATTTTCAGGTTTATTTTATCTTTTATTTAGTATTTGAAAAAACAAAAAACAAAAAAATTTTATTACGGTTTTTATAACACGGTTTTGTAAAAATTAAAAAAAAAAAAAAAAGAAAAAAAAAAGAAATAAAAAAAAAAGAAATAAAAAAAAATAAAATCAATAAATTATGTATAAATGTGTATGTGTGTGTATCTGTGTATGTATGTATTTATGTATGTATATTGGTTTATATATGGGTGTATATGTGCTGTTAGTATTTATGTATGGTTTATATATGGGTGTATATGTGCTGTTAGTATTTATGTATGTATATTGGTTTATTTATGGGTGTATATGTGCTGTATATTCAAAAAAAAAAAAAAAAAAAAAAAAAGAATAGTGCTGCATAACCTCTGGCGTAGGAACACCCAACTATAACTGCTTGGCAATCGTTGGACTGGATTGGGATTCGGTGATACCACCTATGATCGTATGTATGGTAAAGATGCAAACACAATGTATACTTAAAAAAAAAACTATATTAGAACAAGACCTAATTATCAACAAGAACACCCCACTCTGATTTTATTTTCTACAATTTTAATGCAAGAAATGTTCAATTCAATTATTTTTTTTTTTAATTTATTCGATTTATATTAACATCACTAACACACAATGACGTCATCGAACACATCGGTAATTATACTGAAGTATATTATTTTTAACTATTCTATGCAACGGTTTATATAATTATTTATCGGAACAGATCCAATTCAAAAGCTAATAAACATTTACAAAAAATCAATAAAAATGAATTCATTTAAAGCGTTTTGATTCCAGCAGTTCCCTACGACAAGACCTCAAGGACTTGTTCGTGTTTCCGCATTCTTTATTCCTAATTTTTATTGTTATATTTATTGTCATATTTCTATTGTTAACGAAATCTTTATTGTAAATATTATTTATTATTTTTTTTATGTCTTACGCTTTATTCACAAGTTATAATAGAAATTGTAGTAATGATTGTAATAAAGAATAAAAAAAAAATTAAATTAAAAAAAAATAAAATCTTTTATTACATTTCTTTAACTGTTTTACTACATTTCTATAACTTTTTAATTTTGTTTGTTTCTGTTGTGCTTTTGTTGATGTAAAATAATTATTAATAAATATTTAGTCATATTTTACTATTTATAATAAAACAATACGTTATTTTTCTGGTTTGATAACTTCTTGGTGATCTATCTTTTGTTTCATTTCATTTTGTGTACCTGAGCACAAGTTATTTGATCCACTCTATTCTTTGTTTTCTAGTAACTCCTAACTAAATAGTAATTACTTGAAGTCTTGTAGAGAGTATAAAAAAAATAATTTTTACCAGGTGCAATATTAGAACAAAACTGAAATGCCGACCTGATGCCATCTTGCATACATGAATTAAAATCAATAAAGCACTAGACGACTGATCTTACAAATCCTACAAGAATCCTATAGGATGAGATGCACAAGTCCCTGCAGGACTTACAAGAATCTTTTGAAGGATCTTGTAGGATTTGAAGGAATTCTTATAAGATAATATAAGATCTACAAAAATATTTTTAAAGATCTTGCAGGATTAACAGGATTCTTATAGGATGCTGAAGGAAAATTTTAGATTCGTATATATACGGCCCTAGCCCTCCCCCTTAATCCAGAACTGGTTCCTATAGGAACCAGTGATAGATTAAAAAGGAGGGGGCTAGGGCCCTAAAATTTCGGGATTCCGAAATTATTAAGCGGACCTTTTTCTTTTTCTACTGTTTTAGTCATTTTTATGCTGTGGCACGTTAAAAAGGACTCCGGGCCCTGAAAAGTCTTAATACGCCAATGATAGGAACCATAACATTTATTATTTTATAATTAATATCATAAATCTAATAACCAAACTAAGAACATACGAAGTTAGGTGTTTATTTTGATTGGAAGGAAAGTATGTCTATTCTTCTTTTTAATTACTGATAATAGGTAAGTTAAAGTTTGAAATAACATTTTCTTATTAAAAAAAAATCATTCTGTATAAAAGAAATTTTTCACGTATTATCATTATTACAGAATCACATTTGCATTGCTGATTACTTTTGTTTTTTCTTCCTATCTAGGCCGCTCTGATTAGGACTTCGTCTGACGCACGCCCACGAGTAATTGGCAAAAACTGTTGCGAGTTGCTCTTTGAGATTTCGTATTATTGCATCAGGAACTGTGGTTCTATAATAAGAAATAAATATATATATAAAAAAATCATAGAAATCAGGCAATTAATCATTAATTAAAAATTTTAAAACCTGTCCCGCCCCTTAACCCATCGCAGACACAAGGGAGGGGGGGATTATTACCCCCTGACAAAATTTTTAAATTATTTAAAGAGTATGACTAAGTAAAAAGTAAAAACACTTGAAATTTTAGCTACTTGCTCCAAATATTTAGGCAAATTTAAGTAAAAAAAAAATTCATTTGAAATGCCTAATCTGAGCATATTAGTCAAATCCATGGATCGATTCGGTCAAACGAATGACTGGTCAAAAACTTAAATTTTGAATTCTGGCTTTTCATTGTAATCCTGAAGTTTCATATTTGGTATTTGTATTTCTTTTGCTTATATTTAGGAAAATAAAATTTCCATTGGTTTTCACTGACCGTTTCTATACTATATATATATATTATATATATATATATATATATATATATATATATATATATTATATATATATATATATATATATATATATATATATATATATATATATATATATATAATATATATATATATATATATATATATATATATATATATATATATATATATATATGTATATATATATATATATATATATATATATATATATATATATATATATATATATATATATATATATATATATATATATATATATATATATATATATATATATATATATATATATATATATATATATATATATATATATATATATATATATATATATATATATATATATATATATATATATATATATATATATATATATATATAATATATAAAATAAATATATAACAATTTTTATTATTAATTTTTATTAATTAACTAGAGTATAGTTTAAATATAATAATAATTATTAATACAACAAAATTTATGCATATTTATGTTACCAAGTTTATAAAATTTTCATAAAATCCATAATATAAAATAATTATGATATAGCAACTATTTATATATTTCTTTAACAAAAATTAAAAAGATATTAGATTCTCAAACAGCATGTTCATTATAATGAACATGCTGTTTGAGAATCTAATATCTTAATTTTTATCTAATATCTTAATTTTTGTGATTTGTGACGTGATTTAAATGCGCATTATGAATTGCGGGAAAATAAATAGCACTTGATTGCTATTTATTTTCCCGCAATTCATAATGCCTAATGATTTAAATCACGTCACTCTACGACTCAATTTGCTCAGAAAGTCACGCAATTCAATGTACACTCTGATTGCGAGAAAAAATTTTAATTCAACTAGATTTTTTTGGTAATAATTTAATTTTAACGTAAGGGACAGATTGTCCCGGGCGGCAGATTTCCAAGGGACACTAAATAGAATGAAGGTACCTTGGAACAAAGGTCCTTTACCGATAATATAGGAGAATTTCGATAATTAAGAACGCCAATCATGTTGCTGTCCCGGGCGGCGAAACAGTTCTTGGCGGCATTTTATATATATATATATATATATATATATATATATATATATATATATATATATATATATATATATATATATATATATATATATATTTATTTGTTATTATTTAATTTTTTTACAACACTTTTATTTATATACATTCAATAAAAACAGTTTTTAATTATTTTGTAATTATAATATATTTTTATTTATTTCCATACTTATAATGTTGCGTAGCGCAGGTGGTAAGGCACTAATGGTCTAGTGATCCGGGTTTCGAAACCAACCACCGATAAGTTTTTAATTTTTCAAAATAAATTAAATAAATGAAAAATCTTACGAATCCTTTAAGATACCCTACAGGATAATCAAGGATTTCTTATGACCTTATAGGATTTGCAAGACAAATAAAATCTTACGAATCCTTTAAGATACCCTATGGGTAATCACAGGATTTCTTATGGTCCTATAGGAT